ATCTTTCCACCCTCCCTTCATGTATTTCCATATATTGATGAGATTCCCCCTGAGCCTTCTCTTCTCCAGGCTGAACCGTCCCAGCTCTCTCAGCCTCTCCTCAGGAGAGATGTTCCAGTCCCTTAATGGTCTTAGCAGGCTTTTGCTGGACACTCTCCAGTGTGTCCATGTCTCTGTTGTACTGGGGAGCCCAGAACTGGACACAGCACTCCAGGTTCTGCCCCACCAGTGCTGAGGAGAAGGATCACCTCCCTTGACCTGCTGACCACACTCCTCCCAATGCAGCCCAGGACACCACCTTCGCTGCAAGGGCACATTGCTGGCTCATGTTCCGCTTGGGGGACCCACAGGTCCTTTTCTGTAAAGGAAAGCACGGAAATTGCTGGAATGGAGTGTGTGGATGTGGATTCAGAAAGATAAGACCTCAGTCAGATACTTATAGCCTTGCATTGACTCTTGTAGATTTTTCTCCAGAAATTTTCAAGAAATGTTTTTCCTTTTATCCTTGTCATCTTTACAAAGTATTGTTTCTCTGTACTAATTTTTTTTTGATGGGGAGGAGGGAAGTGAACATATGTCCAACACCATTCCTACCTTCCTTCTGCTCTGTGCAAACCAAGAATGAGCCAAAAAAGGTATTTGTGTCCTTTGTAGATTTATGGGTTCTGATGGTGGTGAAAAGGAAGACACTGAAGCAACAATGATGTATTATGGAACAACTTTTATCCAAGAAGCAGATTTTCCTTTCAATTTCAACCTAATTAACATGAAAAGTCTATCGGGCAACAGTATTTTTGAAGCAGTCAACCTGTGGATGAAAAACATGCCTGCAGGAAAATGGCCAAACTGGGCGGTAAGAGTTCTAGACCAACTCTTATAGGAAGAGCTTGTTCCTAGATTTCCTCTTCTAGTTCCCTTTCCCCCCCACTGATTTTGGTGGGATCAGCAGCAGCCTGAGCCCATGGCTGAGCTGTAGTAGATACCCACGGGAAACTCCACTGCTGTGGTCGCAGTCGTTGGCATTGGCCATCCAGATGGCTGTCCTGTCCTTCGGTAACCATTACGCTCCCCATGCAAGGGCCACAGAAAGGAATTTATGATCATGCCTCTCCCTTGGTGTCTGCAGTGTAGTATGGGGCATTGGCTTAAACCGCCCGTGAGGATGGGATTGGTACAATTATCTTTGGCCGTAAACCAACTCAGTGCAATGGATTCTGGAAACTTCCTGGGGCCAGGGAAGAACAGAGCAGGCAGCTGAGGGCAGTTAACTTAAAATCTTGCTCATCTTTGCTAGGAAGCATGTTTGGGATGTGCAAGAGATCTTTTCAAAACAAGCACCACCTTCACACAGCAGAGAAAATGGCAGAAATTGGAGGGAACTATGATCGTGGAGAGTTGTTATTTGTCATCTCTCCTCACTTCTGCCTTGTGTGCTGCTGGCACAGCTTCTGTGTGCTAAATTATTTGAGGTAGAAGTTTGTACTGGCATGAAGATAAAAAACATAATTGCCCTCACAGGCCTGGAGGGGAAAGAAAAAAAGAAAAAGAAAAAAACCCTATTACCTTGTTAAATTAGTTAACCAATTTCACATATGCATGGAATTTTATAATGTGTGTTTAACAGAATGATGTTTTCTTCAGGTTGGAAGCCCTAATGCTGCTCGGATTTCATCTCGGATTGGGAAGGAGTACGTCAGTGTTATGAACATGCTGCTCTTAACCCTCCCTGGTACTCCTGTGACTTACTATGGTGAAGAAATAGGCATGGAGAACATTGCATCAGAAAATGTAAGTGAAGAGCATATAAACTTTGATCCTGTTGTTTAGTTCTGAGTAACAGAACTTTCAAAAATACAAGGACTTTTCTTTTGTTAACCAAACCTAGTCTTTCTGACCGTTTAGATAGGTTTCTGTGTTCCCCATGGCACAGCCATTGGACAGCATGTTGAAATGGCCAGGCCAGAGACCAGAACCCAGGCCATGATGTGTGTCTGAACTGCTAAACTGCAGTCATGGCCCCTGATTTCTGTGCCACATCAGTCTTGAATGGTTTGCAGGGGTGTTGCTTTGCTTCACTTCAGCAGAAGAGGCAGCAAGCGCTAGCACCAGGCCTGGGCCAGTGGTTGGGAGAGGTGTGTTGCAGTCATCGGAGGCAAGAGGAACCGAGTCGCGAACTCCTTCCTCCCACCGAAGTACCCTAATCGCTACGTCAAAGTCTGGTATTTCCTGGCTGCTATTTAAAGGGAATCGGAGTTCATGAGAGACCATAGCTACAGTCACCATCTCCTGCAGACTGCTTTGCTCCGACTGTGCAAAGGCACCTAAGACACAGCCCTCTACAGCCTGCCCAAGCTCCGAGGAAGGGATCTCCAGACAGGGGTGGGCGTACAGACCAGCCCCTGCTTAGCATTGCCTGGTGGCAAGCAGAAGTGGCCTTTGCTTGCCACGCAGGGTTTTTTGATTTGTCTTTTAGATCCCTTTCTATAAAGGATATAGGTACCTGAGCCTGGGAACCAGGTGCCTAGCTCATTTGGTCATAGCTCCAAGTAACACATGACAGGATGGTTGTTAGATCCCAGAAATTTTCAGAAGTAAGTTTATTCAAGGTCAAGGGATTAAAACAAAGTGTCCATGCCTTTTACACTGTGCTGACTTCCATAACTTAAAAGCTTTCAGGTTCAGCCCCTGTAATTTCTTGTCTTTTGTATGATCATACCTGACTTCTGCTGTGTCTCATTGCCCAAGATGTAGGGGCATGACTGGAAAAGGTCATGCCCAAAAGGGAAGGGCTCAGCTCTGCCCCTCATGACCATATTTGAGCACCATGAGAACACGGTCCTATGGCAGATGCTGGTTTCACTATGGAAAGCCTGTGTTAGGGAATGAGCCAGCCTCTGATGATGTTACCAACGGTCTTGGCTAGCTTTGCATCAAAGGGAAGGAGGTACTTGAAGAAGAACAGGATCATGGCCAGGTTTGTCTGATTCAGATGTGACAAAAAGATTCTCTGATTTAAAAGGAAATCTCATTTCCTCTGAGAAACGCCTAGGTCAAAGTATCTCCTTCATTTTCTTGCTGCTGCTGCTGCTTACTGCTGACAGAATGATAGATACTCTTCAGAAAAGTGGCTTGCCCTTGGCTCCTCAGGGTTTACTCTCTTTTAGTGGCTAGCCTGTGGCTTAAGGCTTTGTAACAATGCAAACCTGTTCTTCACTCAATCTGGAGAGGAACATTCCCTGATTAATGGTTGTCCTAGAAAAATGGAGAGCATTTGCTCAGGGTATAGTTTTTAGCCCCAGCATTTGAAACCCTTCAGGAGAAGCTAAAAGAGGTAAAGATGAAATGAGTGTTACCAGTGTTGAAAACTTGGGATTTTTCCCCCCTGCTTTTCAGAACATGCTAAAAGGAGAAACCCATTATTTATAATGTCACAAAGCAAAGTGACAATTTCTTTTGTTGAGCTGCTGTTCTGACAGATTGCATTGAAAAGTGCCCTTTATATGAAAAACAGTTTTCATGGAAAACAAACATTCAAAGTAGGCGCAAAATATTTTATGCCCTCTTATATCATTAAATTTAAGTGTCAGATCTTTTGGCAGCTCTTCAGTAACAATGAGGAAGCTTTTTCAGAATTTTTCTGAATTCTTCAAAATGAGAACTTCAGACTTTTTACATCGACACTTTTTAATCAGCTAAAAGCTGGTTTTCAATAAAGTTTTCGCACTTGGAAATAATTTTATCTTTCTAACACAAACAATCCTGTCCAAATTGTACCCCTTGCAAATGTAAGCTTGAAGAGTTCTAAGGTGAAAAGTGTGATGGTTACAAAAGAACAGATGCTGAATAGCATTTACTAGTTGTTTACTGTTATTTTAACAGCATGTCTTCTTAGGACTCATTACCTCATATATTCACTCACTGCATGCCTGGATATTTACCGGAATACCCTAGCTGTCATTAGTAAACTTTTATCCAACCATCTGTTGCAAGGGGAGACAACTCGAGGAGAGTCATTTGGGAATTTCACATTTTACCCAGCAATGCTGTATCCATGAGACCATCCATTCTCCTCCACTTCAGGAACTGTCTTGATTCTTATTTCCTCTGTAGATTTGGAGCAGGATTACATCCTCCTTATTAAATTTAAACTTAAACCAAAGCAAGAAATACTGAAATAGTGATCATTTGGAAGATGTGAGAACATGCTATCGCTGCTTTATTTTCTAGGTGACCTTTCCAGAGAAATCCCCCATGCAGTGGGACAGCAAAGTTAATGCTGGTTTTACTGAAGGCAACAGCAGCTGGTTACCTGTTAACTCTGACTACCAAAGTGTAAATGTTGAAGTAGGTATCTATATGTGTGACAAACTAATGGTCTGAAAATATTTTAATGTATCTCTTTTGCTCTGACTTCTTTAAATTAGTGGGAATTGGCAGTAAGCACAAACTCAAGGGAAGGAAAAGCACTGAATCCTGACACATTTTCTTAGAAAAGGAAACCCTTGCACCGGCAAGGAGCCTACTTCATTTACGTGCATTTAAACAGAGCAACTGCAATTATGATGTAGATGTGGCAATTTGGCTCTTTAACATCCTTTTAATAATTTTAATATTAGATTGAAATCTGGTCTTTTTTTCATCTCTATTACTATAGAAAGCACTGGCTTTGTAACAAGAACTTAACATAGACCATCTCTAGCAGAAATAGAGCAGTGAATGAAACAGATTTTGCTGATCTACACTGCTGACCACAATTGAAGACAGAAAAAAATAAATCTAAGACAGGAAAAATATAAAACATGAAACAAACCCTGTGACTTCAGTAGAAGACCCGATGAAAATGTTCATTATCAAGCTTTGAATGGCTGTGGCTTCCTCCTGAATAAAGGGTACTGTAAGGACGCTGTGGGAGGAAGAAAGTGTTAGTGCTAGGGAAATTCTGTCATTCCCGATAACCTCTGTCTGTGTCACTCCACAAATGCCAAGGAAGTGCATGAGAAAAGGCAGTTTTTCAGTGGAATTTGCAGACAAATTTGAAGGGAGCTAATTGTCAAAACAGAATTCTAATAGGTGTGTTCTCAGCAGACTGTGTGGGTGGGAGAGGCGAGTACTATTTCCTACATTCAGTGCAAAGAAATGACCCTGTTAATGCTGACTGTTGCAGATCCAGATGACCTGGTCCAACTCAACCCTGAATTTGTACAGAGCGCTAACTTCCCTCCGCAACAGTGAGCTCCCCATTCATCGGGGTTGGATGTGCTACGTCTGGAATGACAGTGATGTTTTTGTGTACGTGAGGGAACTGGATGGGTTAGACAGAGTCTTTATGATGGTTCTCAATTTTGGGCAGGAATCGACAATAGACCTGAAAGCTATAGTTCCTAACCTTCCATCTGAAGCTATTATAAGACTAAGTACTAATTTTAGCAATGCTGGTAAAGCTGTCAATACCAAACTAATTAAAACTGAAATGGGAGAAGGCCTGGTCCTTGAATATAAAACAGCAAAGCCTGTTCATACTATGGAAGCTTTTCAAGGAAATTGTTTTGTGGCAGAAAAAGCTTGTTATTCCAGTGCCTTCAATTTACTCTACATGAACTGTTAAGTGCAGGAGTAGGATAACCAAGCTTTCATGTTAATTTAGAAAATATTGGTTTCAGGGAAATGCTAAAAATAGTCAGTTTTCTTTGGCTTTTAAAACTTTATTTGTGTACAACATAAATGTCCTGAAAAATAAAACTTGATTGCTAATAGTGTTGCATCTGTATTGGTGATGAAAAAGTATGGTAGAAATTACCCCCTAGGGTCTGTGGAGAAGAAAAGTAAACCTGTCTTAAAAAACTGTCCGGTTTAAGTGTGTGTATTTTTGGGAGGAAAGAGAACAGTTGCTTTCTGGGTGCTGCCCCTTACAGCTGCTGGTCATTAAGAGCTCGGTGGAATCCAAAGCCTGTGGCAGATCATAGAACTTAAAAAGCCTGTAGATTTGTAAAACTTACTCTAAAGGGGTGGCCCTATGTTTGTTAAAATAGGTAAAAGCAAGCAAGACCAACATATAAAGTTGTGAAGGCTTAACTCTTCTCTCAACTCAGAACAGTTCTGATTATCCTCAAAGGTAGTAAGAAAAAGAACAAAATATAGCTAGGATGTCTTACTTCTATACTCAGGACTGCATTTCCAATTGATTCTCCCCCCCCACGGAGTTAGAATACATTTGCATTCTGAGACTTTTTCTACCCTAAGGCTGAGCTGAGGTGTGCGTATGTTAGTTCAGAGCCAGCAATGGAACCAGCCGTACAGAATGTCACACTTGTTCACACGGTTTGATTTGGTGCACCTACAGTGGCTTGTGTGACACAAGGATCAGCGTTTGACTCAGTGCAATCTGTTTTGGACATGGGGGTGATCTGGGCAACTGTTTTGGTTTGAGGACCTTATGGCCACACAGTGTATTGTGCGCCATGCTTCTATCTTAGCAAGCAATGTGTAGTAGTTTTGTGCCTTTCTCAGAGGTCAGCTAAGCTATGAATCAGGCTGTGTTAGTGGGGGCATTCTTTTTTTGTTTTATCCTCTGGAGACACTCTGGCATCTCCTTCTGGGGCATTTGTCTTGTCTTCCAGGGGGACTTTGGCACCTACTCTTTAAGATTACCATGCTGCTGAAGGTAACTGCAAGATTTTGAATCTACTCAGATGGAAGTGTTCTGCTAAAATTCCTGTTCTTGAGAGTCGTTTTCTTCTTTGCAGTTTGTTCAATCCCACCATTTCATTTGTATGCTATGGCTGCTGTGTAGCTAGGAAGGGCAATAGTCATCATTGTACGGGAATTAGTTTTAGAAGACCTTGGTGAGAGGTTTAAATCAAATACTTCTTGGGAGTTTTACTGCCGTGTGTAAAATGTGCTCTTGGAAGAGAGGTCTTAGACTGGAAAGACTGCCTGTACAAAGTGTGTGTACTTCACATGTTAGGCTTTACGCACCAACCACTGTGCTTCAGCTCCGCTTGTATAGCGCTGCACTGCTTGCTTATGTGAACAGAACTGTACTGAACAAATCAATAAATGCAGGTGGCTACTTCTGTACTATCTGGCGGGGCAGAAATTCAGCTCTTAGTTTGTATGGTTATAAGCCAATGCCATACCCAACTTTGCCTCTGAATTTCTTGTCTGCTTACGCCCATAAAGTAGGGATCCGAGAGGACAGACCCTCTAGAGAAGGTGTTCACTTTTCATATAAATAAAGATCTGACCCGAAGTTCTTCAGGTGGTCAGTATGTTTATTAGCTATTTGCAGGATTTGCTATGATGTCGGAGATGGCATACTTCAAGTTCTTTGTTCAGAAAAGCAAGGTGTCTTGCAACCTAAAATAATGAAAATATTTTATTACAAAATAAAAAAATTCTTTCCGCTATAAACCTTCAGGTTCTTATACAGCTATTCTAATCTTTCTTTCCCATACTATTGCTAAGCAATACCTTGCCCTAAGACAGAATGAGGCTTTTCCTGAAAGAATTTATTTTGGGAATAACTGCCACAAAAACAAAATAACATTTGCTAGGATTTGTTAAAATTGACAGTAATAAAATTTGTAGCCAACTGTGATAGTCTGAGACATCAGTAACAGTATGTCAGGTCTTTGCAGCGTGTTGCTTTTAACGTGCACGCTTGTATAAAGTGCAAAATCTTGAAACCTAACTGTAGTAGCATCCTTTGACAGTACAGATCATGCATTTCAAAATGTAAAGATCAAACACATCATATATGTTTTACTCATGAGGAAGATGGAAGTTAAGTGGCCAGTATGGCAATTTTAAGCACTTTTAATACTCTACAGTGTAAGACTTTTCCTGCTGGAACAATGTTTTGCACAACTTAGAAAATTCATTCAAAGCTCTCAGAACATTACAGTGGGAGTTTAACACTATTTTGAGGCTTAAGGCACAACGAGGTTCAATAATCTGGTTCTGTCACTGGCTCTTTTAGATCTATAAAAATACATTGATAAATATATATAATTATGTGTATCTATGTATAAACTGCTGGGTTTTTTATATATATATATATTTT